AGTCTCTGGTCGCGTGTCCTCTTTTCGCGTGTCCAACCTGTTTCAGGAAATCCAATTTGAAAAATCGACAGTGAAATTCGTACAAATGGAGCATGCCATTTTGTTTCTGGTTTTACTCTTCGATTTTTCGAAGTTAGTATCGCGGCCGCGGTCGCGGATAGGTCGTGAGTAGGTCCCGAAACGAACGTTTATGTAGGTATTGCTCGAGCACGCACATGCGAATGGACAACGATCAGTATGATCGATGGTCGTCCATGTGTATTGGCGTTAGCTTCCGCGGTTTATTTTTTTATTTCACCTTTGTAAATTATTTTTTGGTTTGCGATTAGAAAGACTCGAGCTAGACGTAAGTTTCAGAAAGAAGAGGCTAAAAGCCGAAGAGGCCCGGCAAACTGCCACGAAGAGGGTCACAACAAATGGCTTCTCATCCTCTGGATCATTCAAATGATTCCAGAGCATGGGATGTCATTCTCTGTCACTATGCTCCTTTAGTATTTGTAGTTGTATATTTTTTTCTTCCTCCTTTATCATCGTTCGTCATCGCGCAATTTTGGGCAAATCGCGATTTTTCTTGTTAGTGTTGCGATAGACTGATTATGGGTTGAATTAGAGTTGCGAAGAAATGATAATCGTGTTTGCTTTAGAGTTGCAGATTATGATACCGCGATTGTTTTTTTTTTTGCAATTTCGATTGTTTTATAGTTGTTTTAGTGTTAGTGTAATTATGTAAATTTATCTTGCTTTCTGTTGTTTTAAATTATATTATAGAATCATTAGTTTTAATTAATTGTAGAATGTTCAAAGTAGTTTTCTTCTTCGTAGCTTTCACATTGTTGATAATAATTTTCATTGAATTTGGTTTTAGAGTTAGTGTTGCGATAATAATGATCGCGTTTCTTTTTTGAAGTAGCGTTGCGTTTACGAAATGCCCAAATTTTTCCACTGGATTCGTGGAAGGCTGTTCTTGCTCCTAGATCACTTGATGCAGCTACAAGAGCTGTACAGAGATGATCATTCATCAGCAACCGTCAGTATGGTTGTACTGGACGCGTCTCAATTAGTGTTGCGTATTTCTAAACATGAGTGCATAGATTAATAGCATTGCATACTTATTTTCGCGAGTTTTAAATATGACAAAGCACTCTGCGCGTTTGATTTTGAAAATTTCCTGTTTCATTATTAATGCTAGTGAATTAGTGTTGCGAAACAAGTTACGCTTTGTTGCTCGAATTTATGTCGAATTTAGATTCGACAATAGCCCTTCTGGTTATTGTATCGAGTAGAAAATTTCTTTTAGTTCTTTTAGTAGCCTCTCGCGATTTGTTTTTTCAGCAGCCCTTCTGGCTACCGTGTTAGGTTTTCTTTTTCTTTTTCAGCATTCCTTACCACTGTGTTTATGAAAAATTACTGAAAATACTGCTAAAAAATATATACTTTTTTATTAGACTATAACTTTGTTAAATTTTGTTATAAATTTAATATATATATGAAAGTGTAACTGATTTCATGTGTCAATTTGTCAATCATGTTTCATATTTTGCAATGAACATATTTTGCACAATTCTTTCTATTCTTCGTGCTACATAACGAATAAATAAAAGTTGAAAAATAAATCAAAATGTGATTTTAATCGAATCTCCTTTCATCTCTGTATCAAAGATAAATTTTCAATTTTTGACTTATTTCAGTCTAATTTAAATCCAATCACTAGAGTTTCTTGCTTTCAATTTTCATAATTTTGAGTAAAAATATATTTAATTCAATTTAATTCAGTTAACAAAATATAATTATGAAATAATATATCTCGACAGTAACCTAATTTTCTTTTGTGTATGTAATATGTTTTCATTGCAGATCTTTTTATTGTTTTTTTTTTTTTTATTTAAATTATAATACTAATCCAATATGTAAATTTGTTTCAGATACATTAATTTACAGAATATTAGTTACAGAAAGTATACAGTGATACTAAAGAGAAAGATGGAATATGAATCAAAGAAAGTGACTAAGTGGAAAAAATTGTTGAAACAAAATGATGTTTCATTCAACTGTAATAGTTATATTTTACAGGTTTTATCAATCTTTTTCTTAGATTTGTCTTGGATACAAATTATAGAATCAATACTTCACTTCGCGAAGATTTGACAACCCTGAATGATTTTCAAAGATCATATTTCTAGCGCATTTATTACTTGACCAACTTCGATCGTTTTACTTGATATAATAATAAATAAATGTTCCTTAACTCACCATTGTTTAAACATAGAGTGCATTAAAAAACCAATTATTTTTTACTATGTCGGTATTTCAGATCACGGGCCACGAAATCCCATAAGATCTTTGGTCTATTCATATATCTTGTTTGTGCTCAAAACAAAAAGGGAATTAGAATGTTTCGTTCTCTGTGATTTATCAAGCCAAAATTAGTATTTTACTTATTTAATTTTTTTGCACAGATTAGTATCAGTAGTTCGTCGACAGATGGAACAACCATGTTCGAAACAGAACACTTGTATATAATCATATATAATTAATTAATTACGTGGAAAATCGAGATGATATTATACAGAGAAGGTTTCCAAGGCTTTGATTTAATTTCTAAGACGTTCAAAAAATCTTTATATATCGATAAATTTGATTTTTTGTTTTTAATTTCACAGGTGCACAAGTTAGTTCCACTCTCTCTCCGCTGGATGGCTACACTATTTCTATATTCAAAAGAAAACTGAAGAATATTTGAAGATAAATCGATGAACTTTTATATTTTACATTTACTCAGTTTTTGTTTCTATATTTCGTGCAATTTGTGAAAAGCATACGTGAAGATTTACAAAATTTTTTCAATAGATCGAGACACCAGCTTTGATAATTTCTCGCAAATTATGTCCAAGACTTGGATCAAAATTTGTTGTGATTATAGTGGAAGATACTAGTTTCGAAAAGTACGTATATTGAATGCAAAATAGTTATTTAAAAATACTTAACTTATTAAAAGATTGGCGGTTAATTGTCGGTGAATGTATTGTTAACAATTGGTTATTTGAGAGGAGAGTTTCTTTTAAAAATTATGCATGAATATTATTACAACATAACAATACAAATTATACAAATTAATCAATATAAGTTAACGATACGAGTTATTAATTAACAAAAGACAATTCATCTTCGTTTGATACTGTAAACGGATGTGTATAGACGATGATAATTAGATTAAAATTAGAATATTATTTCTACAATAACGACAAAAGTTATGTTCTTTTTTTAGGAAGCAACAGATCGATCTAAATAACTCAATTTAATTCGATGATTTAAAGATGTAGATCTGTGACTAAAGTAATAAAAGGGGATATTTTCTATTTTTCATTGTGCAATCTATATCAGATTAAAAGAAGCGCGTTCTACAGGGCGCCATGCAAGTTGTTTTCGCGTTTAAGAAAAGGAAAGTACGTGAACACTTACGCTCCGCATTAGTTTCTAATTTTTGCTTTACTAATAGCGAAATACTAAAGAAATAAAGAAATCAATACTATCTGTCGTGTGTTATCTTCATCGAAGATCAACTGTGACATAAATAATTCGCACGCCGTAGCTACAACGACGAAGATCGGAGTTTCGTCAGTTCGAAACATAATAGGTACGTATAATTTTGCAGTTCGAGAATTTATTCCTTTCATTTAAATTTCGTTCCATTAAGCATTATTAGTCGGTGTATATGTTATTCAGAGGCAGCGTTTTACAACATCCTCGTCTGCATAAGTGCTGGGGCAGGTTACGTGCGCCGGTGTAACGAACGGTTAAACGTCCTCTTGATTTCCGTGTCGTCGGATGAAATATGCGGTCGACGCGTTGCAGCAATTTGTACGTAATTCGTAGCTTTAATGTACGATACTGTTAGAGTGAGTTTAGTTCTTTCTCTGCTACTAGGAGCGTCTACTACGTACGTTGTCAACAGTTTCTCAAATCAAAAGGGAATATTTCCCATTAATCTCCGCGAGAGGGATGATCGTTTCGAGTGGGAATTTTCGAACGATTTATCTGTCAGAAGGGAAGAAAAATGGCGGGAACGTAGTTGGCCGGCGTCGTTAAAATTTTCAGAATTTCACGATCGTTTCGCGATAGCGGTTCTGCTTTTTCTCTTCTGCTCGATGGTGTTCCTCTTCGCGCGTACGCGTCCAAGTGTCTCTTTCGCGAGCTTTCGTGTGCCACGTATTCGTCGAATGGAAATGACCCGCGGTGTAAGGTTACCACTCGGTAGAAAAGAAAAAAAGGAAAAAAAAAAAAAA